CCCCCAGGGCCTTGGCTGCCTCGGCTGCTAACTAAGCAGGGAAGCTCCGCGTAGTAAGGGCAGGAGACGTCATTCATTCCGTGGGAGCAACAGAGAGAGAAGGCCCGGCGGCTGCGTCGGGAGGTTACCAGGCCTGGAGGGAGGCCGCCCACCCTGACAGCCTCGCCTCCCCTCTGCAGGCTCCGCCGGGAACTCGGACCCGAGGCTTCCCCTCGGGGTGGCCCTGCTGCTGGCGGCTGTGGCCCTGGTCCTGGGGATCGGTGTCTTCGTGGGCCTGAGTCGGGCCCAGGCCCCGGGGCTCCTGGGGGGCAGCAGGGGCTGAACGGCTCAATAAACGTGTTCTCAAGCTCTCTGGTGCGGAGCAGACTTTCTCGTCCCCGAAACCTGTTCCTTAGGTCGGCGCCGCCCTCGCAGTCCCCTGTCTCACACGCTGGGGCCAGTCCGGGTTCCCCGCGTCTGGATTTGGGAGGCTCGGCCTCTCGGCGAGGAAAGGTGGTTTTCGGGGGGCGGGCAGGGCACCTCAAGGTAGAGGAAGGTAAAGTTGGGCAGTCAGGGGCCACAGGAGCTGGGAGTCGGAGCCCGCAGGGCTTGTGGCCTAGGAGCAACCCAGAGTCCCTGGGGCCAAAAGAACTGAACCGCCTTGAACAGCTGCTCCCAGTCCTGCTGAGCCCCCAGCCTCCCCCTCCAGGCTGTGGGTGACTTTTCTGGGCGCCAGCATCTGCCCCAGCCCTGTCCCTCAGCCCCACAACCAGTCACACAGGAACACAGGCCCCCGACAGTCATGCTGGCCAGGCTTCTGGCTCCAACCCAGCATCGTCGCTTCCTCTCCCCTCTTCCTCTCCCCTCTCCCCAGTGCATTCTAAGCCAATGGCATCCGCACGAAGGTGCTGCTATCAATGGCATCGGTGCTGTGTAAACGAAGTGCGATTCTGTAGATACCGATCAGAATCATGTAACCAGCTCTTTAACTTTTTAACACACACTTCTTGTGTCACTTCTTATTTTGTCTGTAGTTTCCTCTGTAGTGCGGTTAAGCGGTGCTTCTGATGAAGACCCAACCTGTTGTTGAGGATGACAGGTGCTGCACACAATCCTATCAGCATGTCCTTCTTTGTACCCTTTTTCCTGGAAGAGACTCTTAGAGCTGCTGGGTCCAGAGCGGCGCCTTCCGATGCCCGGGCTCTGGGTGGGCGTGGGCCCGGCCCCACAGCCTGTCCATCGCAGATGGCGTTGCTGACCGAAAATGGGCCTCTGAGCAGAGGCCAAGCATCTCCTGGACACGCATGAATCGCCTCTTCTGTCTTTTGCGTATGCCACCGAGCGCCTCTCGTCTATAAAGAGCGCTCACTAGTTCAGGGGTCGACACCCTCATCTGACACGTCCCCCGGGGCTGGGAACTGGGTTTCCTGGGGGGGGGGGGGGCTTGTTGTGGAAGAAGCTGCTATGTAACGAGTATTTCCCCTTGTGCTTTTATCTTGGAACATGGCAAGATCTTCCCCTGCCCCACATACTCTTGAAAGTGCCCCCTTTTCTCGCGATACAGTGTACGTGTGTCCCTCCTGCCCAGTGTATTGAGGTGCAAGATTTTAAAAAACTGTTATTAATTTTAGAGAGGAAGGGAGAGGGAGAAACATCAATGATGAGAGAGAATCAGGGATTGGCTGCCTCCTGCACGCCCCACACTGGGGATGGAGCCCGCAACCCGGGCCTGTGCCCTGACCGGAAATCGAACGGAGACCTCCTGGTTCCTAGTGGACGCTCAGCCCCTGGGCCGCCGGCCGGGCCAGGTGGCGCTGGGAATCGATGTTTCAGTTGTGCACGGGTTTCTCTCAGTCCTTCTGTGTCGAACACGGGTGCAGCCGAGGTTCCCCAGCTCTGCCGAGGAAGGGCACGCTCCGCTTTCCTAGATGCTGAGACCTCGCCCCGATCCTGCCCAACTCCAACCTTCCCTCCCCACACGCCCCCCAGCACAGCAGCACCTGAGCCCTGGGAACCCGAGTCAGACCCGATGGGGCGATAACAAACCACACCGCTGACCTGCGGCAGGAAGCAGAGCTGGGGGGCGGGGCCCGGGCAGTAGCTGCGAGGCGAGACCACGGGCTCCCGCCTGTCTCCCCAGGCTGCTTCCTAGACACCGTGGTTGAGAGCAAATGGATGCCGGGTGCCTGCGCAACACAGGCGGGGAGGCGGCTCCAGCTCAAGTAAAACGCAGCTCCCGCCACGGGCTCCGTGCCCAGGCATGTCTGGGAGCGCGTGCCACACACAAGCGCCACGGCTGGTGCAGCAGCAGGAGAGGCGGCTCAGTCAGCCTTCTCGTGTGAGTAACACGGCAGGCTGTGTCGGCACATTTAGAAAACGTGTTGAAATCACTAAGATAACATGGGAAAGAAAAAGGGAGAAAAAAGACCGACACTTAGGACCGAAACAAGCACGAACGTGGAGGAAAAGCAGCCTGTGGCCGCAGCCTGTGTGGTTCAGTGGATAGTGTCGGCCTGTGGACTGAAGGGTCCCGGGTTCGATTCCGGTCAAGGGCACATGCCCAGGTTGCAGGCTTGGCCCCGGCAGTGTCCCTGGGTGCGGGACAGGCAGAAGCAGGGGAGGCGGTGCCAGCTCATGGGTCCGGATCAGCCCGGGAGCAGGCACATCGATTCGGGTTTTCAGATGCAGATGCTGACAGACCGGCGGAGCTGGGACCCCAACCCGGGCTTGCCTCCCAGAGCCCCGCTGGCCACTCCGTCCTGGAAATCAAGCGGCTCCTCAGCTCCCATCCCGCCCTAGTGGGCCAGGGGGTGGTCCGCGTGGGGTCTCAAGTCAGACGGCTTAAAGTCTCAGCCTCACTCCTCCGCTTGTCTCCTGTGGCAGATCAGGCCCAGGCAGGGCTGCCCTGCGGTGCTGAGCTCAGCCTGGGGCGAAGGGGGGCCACGGGGCAGGCTACGTAACTACAGTGCCCCCAGGTGGCCGCCCTGGGCAGTGCGCCAAGGCTGAGAGCAATGCAGCCACGCCCTCCCCTTCAGCAGGGGGGACGCGGGGCTGGGGGCATGCCTGCTGGGGCGCTCAGGTTCACGTGGGAGGCAAGAGGCACTGGGGACACCCCAAACCATTTCCCTTCACATGTGGGACTTCGGCTGCTCCTGGGCTGAAATACAAGCCTCAGTGGCCCGACCACACGGGTCCGGAGAAGCTTCCCTACAAGGCAGCCGAGCCCACACCAGGCGGTGGCAGCTCCCCGGGCACTCGGGCCGAGATCCTGGCCACCCGCCTCCTCCCCTGCTCCAGGCCCCGAGAAAGGCTCGCAGGGCGAATGCTGACGGAGGGAACGGGGCGAAAAGGGCAGCTCCAGGTTGTCCTAGCTGTTAGCGTGCCGCCTGCAGGGGCCCGCACGCCCCGCTGCGTGACCAGCAGCACTGGCCGGCAAGACACACGGGCCTGTTGCATCGCACGGACTCTGCTGTGGCCCGCAGCCCGTCTTAGCTCCCTTCCCGCACAACCCCTCACCCGCAGCACTAACTCCCACTTCCTCATTCTTTTACCCCCTCCTCCCCCCAGGCGTCCCTCCCACGCTGCACTGGGCCTGCTCGGCAAGTACTAACCACCACCCTGCCAGGCCGGTGGTCACACTGGCCCCCTTCCTGTCCTGTCCCTCCACACCCCCACCCCCACCGCTCCAGCCTCAGCCATCCCCTCTGTCTGGCACTCGGGCTCAATGCGACCATGGGCACCTCAGCAAGGCCCTTCCCGACCACCCCACCTCTGGCAGCCCCACGCCCTCCAGGGCACACTCGTCTCCTGGTCTGTTGGGGTCCTGCCCCAGCAGGTCCAGGGGTTCCCAAAGGTGTGGACGGAGACAGCGTTCAGTTGATCAGCAGCCTAGCCAGGTTCTGTCTTTTTTCTCCTGTTACATCTGTATTTATACCAGTTGATTAATCCTATCCATTCTATTCCAAAGGTTAGGGCATTTGTTATCTGCATCCCAAGATCACTACTCTATTGTTCTGTTAAGCTACAAGGAAGTAACTGAAGGAGATTATCCTAAGTAAAGATTATGTAGTTTAAGTGTGATTGTTCATAGTTAAGGTGATTAACTACCTGCCTGGCACTTAGTTAAGGAGTTTTACTGATTTATTCCCTTCCTTAGTCCTGTTAATCCCTAACTCCAGGGAAAAAATCCCCACCTGGGGAAACAACCTTTCTCAGAGAGGTGACCTTGGTTAAAACACATAGCGCTAAGAAGGGGAGCAAACATATTAAGAACAGTATGCCATATACGCCAGGTCCCTTGAAACATATGCTGTGCAGATGTTTCTTCCCTGCAGCGACTGTGTCAAGCAGCAAGGATGGACTGGCTTCCGGCACTGGTCTTTACTATTCACCCGTCTCCCCTGGAACTGGCCCTACTGCGGACTCTCAGCTGCCAGTTACAAACCCTTTCTGCTTAAGCCAGTTGGGGACAGGTTTCTTTCACAACGAAGGATCCTTGCTCACTGCTCAATTCCTCACCAGCAAAAGGCCATCTTTTTAAAAAATATGTTCTTATTGATTTCAGAGAGGAAAAGAGGGGGAGAGAGACACATCAGTGATGAGAATCATGGACCTGCTGCCTCCTGCACGCCCCCCACTGGGGATGGAGCCTGCAACCCGGGCATGTGCCCTGACAGGAAATCGCACCGTGACCTCCTGGTTCATAGGTCGATGCTCAACCACTGAGCCACACCGGCCGGGCAAGAAAAGGCCACTTGCCCACACTTCTCCCTCCCAGGCTGGTGGCCAGTGGGAGCACGAGTGACATGAGACCCTATGAAGCACAGGCCTAGGCCTGCAGGGACCTGGAGAGACATTCTGGCAAATGGCTTGTAGGTTTGTTCTTGTTTTCTTTGATTTCTTTAAGGGGGGGGTGGGAGGCGTGTAAGAGAGTGACGAAAGCAAAGGACAGAAGGCTGCCGGCTTCCTGAGGGGCCGCACCCCCAGTTGCCACCCACTCTCGCCATTGATGCAGCCCAGGTCCCTGTCTGTCACACCCACACCCACACCCAGGTCCCTGTCACTCACACACACACACACACACACACCCCACACCCAGGTCCCTGTCACACACACACACACACACACACACACACACACACACAGAGGAGGAGGCCAGCTTTATGGTTTCCTTTTTTTAATGAAATTAGGTCGCTGCTTACAAAACCCTGCACCAGCCCCCGTGCCCATCCCTTCAGTTCCCTGGGCTCAGCCTGTGGTCTCTGGAACTGGAGCCCAGGGCGTGGAGCGGCCGTGCGACCCGCCTCCGGAGGGTGACAGCGCTCCCTCCACGTCTGCTCCCGGGCCTGGAAGCTGCGGGTGAGGGTGGTGCAGGCCGCCAGGGTTCTCAGGCCCCCACCCAGACCTCTGAAATGATGTG